CAAAAGCGCAGAGTCAAAAGCTTCGCGCAGAGCGCACTCGAAGTGCTCAGCTTCTGCAAAGCAACGAGCAACAACAAGCGTCGCTTTGTGCTGTCCAACAAAAAGTCTTTGCTCTCGAATCCGACCTCGTGACAGCGCATGAGACGTCAGCGAACGTCGCGCGTCGCCTCTCGGCCGACCATGAGAAGGCGCTGGGCTGGCCGCCAAAGGATCTGAATTCCGAGACAAGTACGAAGACGCAGTGCGCGGCCGCGAAGAGAGTCAGTGGACTGTCTTTGATGGGCCGCGTCTCGAAGACACGGACTTTGACAACGACATGGAGGTCGTTCTCGGAGAACCACCAGCACCCCCAGACCTGGTCGCAGCCGCTGAGCTCGAAGCAGAACGCAAGGCTTACGAGCTGCTCAAAGCGCAAGCCGACGACGCAGCTGCCCGCGCCGCATCGAACGAGCTGTGCCTCGAGAACAAGATCTTGAAGCTCATGACGACCATCAAAGATCTCTCGGCCGGTGTCTACGCTCTCTCGTCCGACAAGTCGGAGCTCGCAGAGGCCAAAGCGAAGCTCCAGGAGGAGACGACAAACCTCCTGGCGCGCGTAGCCGCCTTAGAAACGGCGCTGCAGACGCAAGAGACCAAGACAAGACCGACATGCAGGTGCTCGAGACGCGGGCGGTCACGGCCGAAGCCGCTCAAGAAGCCAACGCGACGACGATCCGGGAGCTGCAAACCACTATCGAAGGACTCTCGACGAGCGCCCTCTTCAAGCGTACGCAAGAGCTCTCGAAACACACCCGGGACCTCGAGACGCAGCTGCACCGACTTGGGTACTAGCAGTTATCTCTAACTCTGTCAAGATTGCATAATTCATTCAATTCGTTGGCGTGTCGCATAGTCCTTGGATCTATTTAATACAAGTGCTTTGCGAGGCAGTACACCGGCGGCGAGTAGCGAGATGCGTCCAAGGAACGTCGCTGCCGGTGAAACTTGTGGCCTCGATTCAATAAAGCATCGGTCCCTTGCGTACAGCATAGCTTGTGTCAACTGCATCGAATAAACGTCCCAAGACCATAGAGAGTGCGTTTGAGTTTTTACGTTGAGTTTTTGACTGGATCTCTAGAAAACGGGCCAGCGCGCGTTGTCGGGGTCCTCGTCCTCTTCGTAGAGCATTGTCAGAACGTCGTCGTCGCCGGACGCATTCGACTCATCGTCGTCGGCCACCGACGTGCACTCGACGCGAAGATCTGTGCGGCAATGCAACTGCATGAAATCTGCAATGTCGTCGAAGCCCGCGTCCCGCGTCTCGGCGACACCGGCCTCGGTACCACCTTCAATACGGTGTTCGTGGAGCCACTGGACGACGTTCAGGAAGCCGTTCTTTGCGGCGTCGTCCATGGCAGCCGTCGAGCAGCCCTCGCGTCGGTGCACGTGGAGGAAGCGGACGATCTCCAAATGACCGTTGGCCGCCGCGCCGTCCATCGCATGCGTCGAGCAGCCCTCGCTTCGATGTAGATGCAGCCATTGCACGATCTCCAAGTGTCCGTGCGCGGCCGCCGAGTCCATTGCGCGGACCGAGCAGCCTTCGTGGCGGTGCGTGTGCAGCCACTGCACGATCTTCAAGTGTCCGTGCGCGGCCGCCGAGTCCATTGCGCGGACCGAGCAGCCTTCGTCACGGTACGTGTGCAGATAGCGCACTACGTCGAGGTGGCCGTTCCCGGCAGCTGCGTCCATGGCGGCCACCGAACAACCGACCGTCCGATGCTCGTCGAGGAAGCGGATGGTATCCAAGTGGCCGTTCGCCGCGGCGCCGTCGATCGCGCACACGCTTGGGCTGAGCGACGTGTGCGTATGCAGATGCCAGAGCACCTCGAGGTGGCCGTGTGTCGCGGCAGCGTCCATGGCTCGAAACGAGCCCGGCGCCGCGGCGAGGAGGCGCGTGAGCAGCCCCATGTGGCCGATCGTGGCCGCGTAGTCGACTGCCGCCGACGTGCCTTTAGTCCACGCAAGCAGCCACTCGACGAGCTCCATATGCGCATACCGCGTCGCGCAGTCGACGGCCCGCGGCGTGAGATGCGTCGGGTGGCAGCGGAGCCATCGCTGCACGACGCGCAGGTTGCCTTCAAAGAGCGCCAAGTGCAGCGCGAGCGCGTTAAGGCGCGCAGGCTCCAAGCACAAGTCGTCGGAGCTCAGCGTGCGCGTCCGGTACGCGGCAAAGTACCGTTCGGGCAAGATCAGCTGCAGCGTCGTGTCGGCTTGCCACGTGCAGCCGCGTCGTCGTATGCCCATGGCCTCGGCAGCAAGCGGCGCGAGGTCCTCATAGATGCCATCTTGGTAGGCATGCACGAGCAGACGCAGCTCGGGGTTGAGCAGCACGGCCCGGCAAAGTGAAGCGTCGACCGTCGGCCGCGGCTTCTTGCGCCGGCGAAGGTCCGCCATGCCACCTCTGCTGCGATTGGCCGAAAAGCAGCGAATCAGCGTCGCAAGAAATAGAAAGCGGGTTTTCCTTTTCAGTAGTAAACTCCCAACTTCGAAATTATCAGGACTGTATATATATATGTAACGCCTCCCGCTCTATTGTTTACGATTCCTTCGGAATCGTAAACAATCGAAGCAAAAAACGAAGGCAGCGGTAAACTCGGGGTACGAACGTCGGACTCACTGATAAAGCAGCGTGTTTGTATGGCGGCCTAAAATAATTCGTGCCCAGTTTACCCGGCGCTCCGGCAGGACTTCCCCAAATCGAGTAAACTCGGGTAAACACTATTTGGTTTTTGTATGCAAATCGTCCGGATCAACCGGAGGCTTGGAGGCGAATGGGTGGCCAGGGGTAAATAATTATTTGCCCCTGTGGGTGGCTGGGTGGCATATGCCAACCGGACTTTACTAACCGGACGCAGTATGACCGCCGCCCTTGCAGTGTGCTAGCAGTAGTAGCGTGAGCTCTCCTGGGTAGGGTCATGGTGCCAACGTAGGCTACGACGTTGCTATGCTAGCAGCAATGAATGTATGGGATCAATACGCAAAGCAAATGTGAAGAGCGTCATTATAATGCTGATTGGTTCGACATGTAAAGCTCCTACGATGGTCCAGAGGCTGCGATGGTCCTAGTAGCGTTGGAGAGAGGTCGTAATATGTAGCAGAGAGATACTAAAGAGTTACTAGAGGCCATTTCCGCTGCAATTGGCAAGACGCGGGAGTGCATTCCCTTGCTCGATCGATTCTTAAGCAGGATGGCGCCTTCACCATGTAGCGACATTGACCCACCCAAAAGGTCTTGGAGAGTCATTTCATGTATGGTTCATAACGTAAAGACAACATCAAGCGCGCTCTAACGTAGTGTAAAGTTTTGTTGTGCTGGGCAATGTACTTTGATTCCTATGTGGCAGCATTAGAGCATCTTAGTGCACACTTGCGCAGCGCCCCGAGTCTTCCACCGCATATATCGACTGAGATTACCCAAAGCCTCGCTCCATGCTTATCCAAAGGTACCAACACAACAAAGTAACCTCCATACGCGTTGGAGTTACATGGAACGTCTTTAATCGTTGGGCTCTTTGTTGTCGGCGCAGAGGAGCGAGCTTTCTACCAATTGCGATACTTTAACACGGAAAATATGTGAATTCAGCAGAGCAAAAAACAAAAACGCCCGGCGGGAATTGAACTCACGTCAGATCGTGTGCTTGTTACATTAGTGGCGCTTTCGACAGCGCCACATATTCCAAACCATTTTGGAGCTAATTTATTGATTGACTTAAACTGTGTAGGGACTTGACACAATCCGTCATGCTCTGATACCTGGCAAATAACAATGAGTAACCCTGAAGTTTAGACTTATCTTAGGTGCACCCAACAAAAATGTTATCTTAATAGGACAGAATAAATCCCAAAATATAAGTGCCCCGATGCTAATATATAAGAACGACTATCTATTAATATGAAAAAGTGAGTTATAGACATCCCGATTGACACTAAATATGGTTGCATAGATGACATCTATGGTTGCATAGATGACATCAAGCCAAGCCAAGTCAGCGCACCAGTGCAATCCCGCATCGTGAGCAAGATCAAAAGCAAAAAAGCGCCCTCCAACCTGGGTTCCTGTCGGCTGTACATTCGGACATTGCATCATTATTTATTGGCTGACTATTTTCATGAGCCATCGATCAACTAGTTTGTCATCGGCACTTGTCACTCCGACCACCGAGCCCGCTCTCATCAAGCATCCGAGATCTCGTATAAAAGGTTGACCAAGCATCCGAGATCTCGTATAAAAGGTTGATCAAGCATCCGAGATCTCGTATAAAAGGTTGATCAAGCATCCGAGATCTTGGATGAAAGGTTGACCAAGCATCCGAGATATCGGATGAAAGGTCGAGCAAGCATCCGATATATCGGATGAAAGGTCGAGCAAGCATCCAAGATATTGGATAGAAGGTCGAGCAAGCATCCAAGATATTGGATAGAAGGTAGAGCAAACATCCCGGATCTTAGATGAAAGGGGTGGCAGACACCAAAAAGCTCGATATGCGTCGGCATATCGAGCTTTTTGCTAGTCTATTAGGCAGAAAAGAAGCCCAGACGCGACAAATAAGTACTAGTACTCCGTACTAGTGATCCTTCACAACGTGTGAGTGTACATATTTTTTTTAACGCTTTGATGTAGATAGTTTTCACTGCACCCGCGAACTAGTTTGTTCGAACTGTGATAATATGTGTGCGAATGTGCGTCCACGCACATGCTACTAAGTCTAAATACTACACGTTGATACGTTTCACTTTCTTTCCCAACCGAGCGATCCCGGATGCTTGCTTGACCTTCTATCCAATATCCCGGATGCTTGCTCGACCTTCTATCCAATATCTCGGATGCTTGATCAACCTTTCATCCAAGATCTCGGATGCTTGATCAACCTTTTATACGAGATCTCGGATGCTTGGTCAACCTTTTTTCGAGATCTCGGATGCTTGGTCAACCTTTTATACGAGATCTCGGATGCTTGATAAACCTTTTATACGAGATCTCGGATGCTAGATATCAATATCCTCCAGGGGAGATCCGCTGTAGAGCACGTCAATAAGCACCACCAATTGGCAATGCACGTACTCATACGGAATTACGTATGCATCTAACGTTAGCACTATCATGTGGGGCTTGCTCGCGCTGGCCGCCGTGCCATCGCCGCCCGAGGCACACCAAACCGAGTTGCAGACCGTGCTACAATTGTATAATAGATGTCGTTCATGACGAACGTTGCCGGTAGTCCGTCGGGTACGCCTGGCAGAAAGCGCCACGCGGTATTGCGTTGCGTTTGAGATGACACCGGCCTAGGCCCTTGGACTCGAGCGCAGCCTGAGTGGAAAATCTTCTCCAATGGATCGGGTGAGCCGAGCCTGCTCGAGAGCCTCGAGGTTGCGTGTGTGAGATCTGTAGACTACTCTAGGAAGACCTTACACAAGGCAGCCCGATCGGGGCTCACAGGCGAGTCGGGCGGCAGCGGAAGTCGGATCGCTCGTTTGCCGGCCATCGATCGTATCGTACGTGCGTTGGTTGATGAATGGCCAAATGCTGGGCAAAATGAATGGCCCAGGCCGACAACCCATCCAAGCCTGCCCCGGACGCCGCCGGACGGACAACTCCTTTTTTCACGCCCTGACACTAGGACACAAACCTCGCTTCATTCAGGATACCATACGGCGTTTGGCCCCACCACGCGGTTTACCGGCCCACCATCTGGTTTACTCGGTTGTGGAAGTCGGATCTTCTTGCATGAAGTGCAACCTGGCGCGAGACCTCGGAAGTGGTATGCATGACGACGACCTGAGGACGACGGGAAGAAGGCCAACGACGACGCATGCCAGGTCCACGCATCTGCACCTGGATAGCGGCCACGCGACCTGGGCTGCGATACTACGACCGGTGGACCACTCATCAGTGCCGCAAAGAATTCCCGTAGGTAGTGCGTCGCCGTGTTGACGGGTCGTTGGACACTACAGCTGGACCCCACCGTTGACGAGCTCGTTTCCTTCTTGAAGCGCCTCACGTCGCCGTAGACAGCCGCGCCGAGACATGCTACGCGCAGGTGCGACCCCAGTGCACCCATTCCGGCTACCGTACCACGGGAACATGACGCCATCTCGTTCGTCCCAAAGGCTTGACCATCAAGATCCTGGTTCGAGCTGCTTCCTCGGAAAAGCAGGCGAGATGCGCTCCGAACCTCGCGGCTATCACCGTGGTCAGCAGCGCATCTCGGCCGCCGTGTACTGGATTGTTGAATTGCGTGGTGAACGCAAGGTCGGAACCACCTACATTCTGCCCGCCACATCCGGATATAGAAGGCGTATCCGTAAAGAACGCGACCAATTCGCCTAAACTCAGACTGCAAATCCTGATCTCGCTGCCGGAACGCATGTTGTCGCTGCCATGGCACCGCCGGGCGCTGCCCGAGGACAACCGCGCGGCCTCGTCGCCGCACTCGTCGTCTGCGACATCGTCGACGGCCTTCGAGCCGACATCGCCCGCCCATGTGCTGCTGTCGACCGAGCGCCGGGACGAGCTCCTTCACGTCGCCCGCACCAAGCGCATCTCGTGGGTCGAGGGCATGGGCATCGGCCGCAAGCGCCGGCCGTCGGCGGGGCATGCGCGCCACGCGACGTCAACCGTGCTCGAGTGCACCAAGTGCGCGGATGAGCTCATGCACTTTATGGACGCCTTGGAGCTAGCGCCGTCGTCGTCGCCCGAGACGCCGACCTCGCTCGGAACGATCTCGATCCTCGACGAGGTCGTGCAGCAGCATGGCACGCCGTCGCTTCCGATGGACCCGGCGTTTCGCCGCTCATACAACCAGCTCCTCGACGTCCTGCGCCACGCCGACGCAGCCGACCTCGTGCACACGATCCAGACGTTCCTGAAGTCGCTCCAGGAAAAGTTTGCTACCGATGGCGGGAAGCGACCTGCGTCGCATTTTGGCGAGCGGGTCCAGCATTTCGTGACGCATCTCTTGCATCTGCTGCAGACGTCGTCGCTCGTGCAGCGCATGGAGCGGCAGAAGCTCCTCGAGGACTTCAAGGACCCCGAATGGCGGCGCGAGGCGCTCGAGGCGTTCCTCATGGAGAAGCTACACGCGACGGTCTTTCCTTCGTCCAGAAGCCTCGACGCCGCGCTTCACGACCGCATCGCGTCGCTTCGCTTCCTCGAGTTTGCGCACTTGGACATCACGGCGACGTCGGATCTCGAGCGATGGACAGCGATCCAAGACGACCTTGCGGCGCTGCCGCGCTACTTGAGCCCGCGACGCATGATGACGTGCATCCTCCACGTCTGCCAAGAGCTCACGCACCTCTTACGCGCGCACCACGGGCGGTACCCGGGCGCCGACGAGTTCCTTCCCGCGCTCATCTACACCATTTTGAAAGCCAACCCGGTGCATTTGCATAGCGTCGTCCAGTACATCCAGACGTACCGCCACCCATCCAAGTTGCTCTCGGAACCGGGCTACTTCTTTACGCACGTCGTCTCGAGCGTCTCGTTTCTAGAGCAGCTCGACGACTCGGGTCTGAGCATCGCGCCGGAAGACTTCCACGCAGGCCTCGCCGCCACCAAAGACGCCATCGGTGACGTCGGTGCCGTCATCGCGCCGTTGTCGCCGACCAAAGAGGCACCGCGTCACGACCACTCGGAAGACGCGCAGCTGACGCCGATCAATGTGCTCGATGTCCGCGCCCGCCGCCGGGTACCAGGCCTCGTGCCAGCCGTCGTGCCCGTGCTCATGACGCCGACGATCATGTCGTCACCGTCGTTTCTCGACAAGACGGCGGCCGACCTTCGCCTCACCGACATTCCGCTCTTGCTGGACGAGTACAAGGCGCTGCACCGGCGCGTCCACTGCGCCCGTGATGTAGGCGCGAATTAACTTAAGTCCATTTTCGTTTTGCAAGTACAAGCACGCGTGTATTCCCAGGACAGCTTATGCTTGCTGGGCCTGTTGCAGCGGCGGCTGCGCTATTGTCTCGTCCATCTCGCCAAGAAAGTCCTGCAGCGCGTCGTAGACCATGGGGCATTTTGGGATAATGTGGCCTTGCTGGTGCACATGGCGTGTGACGCGGCCCGGCGTCTCGGCCTCGAAGAGCGCAGCGAGCTGCTCCGACTTGGCCGCCGATACGACGCGGTCGTTGATGCCATAGGCGTGGAACGATGCGACAGTTGGGACGAGGCCGCCTTCAAAGATGGACGCGACGTCGCGCGGGTCGCAGTAGCCGCCAAGAAGGACAGCCAACGACGGCGCCCACCCGAGCTCGTGCTTGGCAAAGTTGGAGCAGAGCCACGAGGCGAGGACCGCGCCTTGGGAGAAACCGAGGACGCCGTCGAACGGCCCGTCGCGGTCCATTGCGTCGCCGACGTAGCGCAGCAGCTGGGCGCGGTCGGCCATCGCGAGCGGCTGCGCCGGGTCCCACCAGGCCTTGAAGCCTTTCGTGTCCACTTGCTTGCTCGAGGTCGATACTACCTTGGGCACAAGGTTGATGGGGCCATCGAGGAAGGCAAGCTCCACGCCGGGCATGCCGAGATGCGCCGTCTTGGAGCGGAAGATGCAGCTGCGCTGGTACATTCCATGGAGACACAGAAGCTTCATGCTGGCCGGAATCCGTGACTGGCCTAAAAACAGCGCGGGCGTTCGAGATTCTGGCCGACATCTTGCTTTTTGTATGCCGGGCAGAGGGACGGGGCAGGCGCGGCGCTGATTGGCTATCGCCAGCCGTTACCTGCGTAATCATCCGCCGCATCATTTGCAGCGTGCCAGCTCATCGTGCGATTGCTGCCAGCGATTCCAGCGTCCTGCGCTTGTAGCGGTCGAGCCGGGAGCCTCGGCAAGAGGCCGATGCGGGCGAGGCGTCCCAGCGTGAACGGACGCAAGCTACATGGGTGGACAGAGTGCGTCAACGCAAGATACTCGGACGTGATTGGGGCACGGGCGATCCACCAAGCAGCACGAACGAGATCGCGCCCTGATAATAACACCACCGGTGTTGCCAGGTCAATTGCAGTGCCGAGCTAACGTTAGTAGTGCTATCGAGACTTTTGACAGAGAGGTCCCGAGCACAAGGTGCATGAGATGCTAAATGTAAGCTCTGGCTTTGGGTCGGTGGGAGACGACGCGAGAAAGACAAAGCTGTCAACTGTTTGCTGTCGACGGTGCATCAGCCCTCTCGTTGCCTGTTGAGCCATCGGGACACTGCACGGAACAAGGTTTTCTCGCAATCGAAACTCGTCGAAAGACCTTCTATCTGGTTTGAACGGCGCCCAAGTGATTGAGGAACGCAACGGCCTCATCGCTCATTGGTGCACTTGCACTTTCTGCGGGCTGGCCGACGTGGCAGCTCCATGCATTCATTGTTCAAGAGACGGCTCGGTACCGAGAACGAGCGCACAGCACTCATGGCCATGCAGCCGAGCTACCGTCACACGGACCTTGAAGGCATTCTGGCCCAGACCATCTACGAATACAACGCGTCCAGTCACGACGATGACGATGGACTACTCGACGTGCTTCCTGCGCGAGCTTTGCCACAGTTCGACGAGACGCGCTGGCCCATTTTCATGACCCCCCAAGAAATGACCGTGATGGAAGTTGTCATGCAGATTCCGCTACGCGTGTCGGGTATGTTATCGCCTTCCACTGCTTCTTCTTATGTAGTACGACGTATAGATGGGAACGATTCATCGAGCGACGAGCCGGAAGACGACCATGACGATGGCATGGACGCCAACTTGGCGCGCGCCCGCACCGCGTGGGCCAGCAATGCGCGCTGCCGCAACCGCGACGGCGTGTACGAGCCTGTGCCCAAGACGATTCCAGGCAACAAGCGCCCGGTCTTTGCCCCGCCGGACTTTGTCGTGCCATCGCCCAGTGCTGTCGGCACCGTGCCGGCCGGCTTTCCGCGCTCGCTGCGCAGCGTCTTTCGTCTCACCAAGGCGACGATCGCGTCCCTGGCGTGCTTTTACAACAACGACTTTGGCATCAGCAGCGCCGACGTCGGGCGCGAGAAGATGCAGCGATGCTTCCTCGACTTTATCCAAGGCAAAGATTAAGAGACCCTTGGTGCACCATGGTAGCGTTCAGGTGTGTTACGGAAGCGCGCTCCATGCGCTGAAACAAGAAGCGATTTGTATGTACGCGATCTTAGTTCCAACGCCAGGTCTTGCGGTGGATGTCGTCAGAGTTGGCTAGCGGCTGTCGTCAATCACTCGAGTCGGAATGGACGGTTGCAAGCTGCGTTGTTCTTCGGCGTCAGGATCCATTGTGCTATGTGGACATTGGAGTCTGATGCGGCAAGGCAATCCCGCGTTGTCGGCTAGCTCCTCTGAGATCGGGACCTTCACGTCATTGGGACTGCTGTCAGCGCGTTGGTGGGGCACCGGACGTGCGTACAGCAAGCATTGGCTACAGTCTCATTGGCGCGTAGGCCCCGATCCCGGAGGAGCTAGAGGACAGTGTCATACCGACCTGTCTGCGAGAAGCACGAGGGACGAAATACCAGGGTAACGGTCTCATCAGTGATTGGTCGATCTATTTTTCAGAGCATATGATTGGTCGGGCGTTTTGCCGCTGCCAAATTTCGCAGTCGACAAAAGTTCGCAGCCACCTTCTCCTCAGCCATCCGCCGCCGCCGCAAAACCTCATCCAGCCCTCTGTAGCAACACGATGTCCAACCAGAAACCGGCCATGGACCATACAGCGAACGACAACGTAGCACCAGCCGACGGGCAGCAGGAGGCCAGTACTACGGCAGCGCGCATGAGTCGCCTCGAGGCGCAACTGGTCAACTTGAAGGTCGACATTGCAATCGAACGCGCGCGCGTGACTGCCAACGAAGCTAGATCGCGCAACACCCACATCACGTACCAAGACGATGCGTTGACGCCACTACCGAAAACCAAGCCCGGGACATCGCCGCCCACGTTCGCTCCCAGCTCGTACGTGGCGCCACCGGCGAGCGCGGTAGGATCGTTCCCGCCGAACTTTCCACCGCGCATGGGCGACGTGTATCGGCTCTCGGCGGCCGACCTGCTCGCGTTATCTGCATTTTACAACGACGACTTTGGCGTGCCATCGACGACCACGGACGTGCTCGTGCACCGCGAGTGTTTTCTCAAGTACATTCGCTACTAGGAACCGAGTCGTGACCTCCAAAAAAGATTGTGACAACTTGCCTCGTGTTGGTTGTGGCTTCAAGCGTAGTCGCTCTCGAATGGTGACGAGCACACGTCTTCTATCCCTTCCCAATCGACAACCATTCGCTTCTATGACTGCGCAGGATCGCTCAATGCCTCTATCGAATTCAGTGATCTGTCCACTCTTCAGCTCATGTTGCATGTCGATGCGTGGCATTACTTACTCCTTCGCCTCACGCCCATTTGGGTTGCGAGGGCCGCGTCCCTCTCGGAGCTTTGTCGCAAAGCTATTCGCCACCAACATTCTCCTCTCGTCGCGCCACGTCACGCGCGTCCTTCGCCATCATCGGCAGCAGCACAAATTCTGTATGCATAAGAACTTGGCGTCGCGGCTACTCGCACCGGCAGTCGGCGGCAACTTCAAGTCGAACGTTAGGCGTTTATGCACTTTTAGAGGATTTCCCCCAAATAAATATTATTGCCCGTCGATATACATATTGTTCGAGAATGAAGAAGGCAGCCGCAGCGCTGGAAGCGTCGCCGGCGAATCCCAACTCGGTTGGCGTCCGGCGGCTTCTTGGGTGGCCCGCCGTTGGGTTCCCTTTCCGCGACAGCTCGGGCGCCGGCCAGAGTGGGACGTCGCCCGTCGCGGCCAAAGGCACGCGCGGACCTCACGGCGGGTGAAGCTTCAAGATTGTATTTTGCGATTAATAGATAGGAGAGATCGGGGCCGGGTGGGCCCCGCGACTCGCTTCAACGCAGCGACGTGGCGGGTCTAAATAGGTTCATTCGAGCGCCAGCGGCTGCACGGCGGGGTTGCGCTCGCGGAAGGCCCGTTGAAAGGCCGTCGCAATCGCAAAGTACCCGAGCTGCTGCTTGTGCTTGGCGAGCGAGGACTGCTTCTGACGCTCCTTCTTCTGGACGAGGCGGCGCGCGAGCTCCTTCTCGAGGCGCGAGCTCACGATGAGGAGGGCGCTCGTGGCCGGCTCGTCCGGGAAGAGAAAGTCGTCCAAGTCGTCGCCGTCGATCGCAAACCGCGCCTTCTTGGCGCGCTGGTGCATCGGCGAGCCCATTGGCGTCGGCGCCAAGCTCGCATAGTCCGACATGTCCTTCTTCTCCGAGACGTTGAGCGCGGCGAGCGCGAGGTCCATGGAAGGCGCGTCGCTCTGGCCCATCATCGCCGTGCGTCCGCGCTTGCACTTCTTCTTCTTGAAGTGGTGGGCGACCGTCATGCTGCTCATGGTCGGGGTCGTCGTCGTTGAGGGAGGGTGGTCGACGGAGGTTGTTTGGTCGAGGAGGTCGCGCTTCGGGCACAGCGCAAGAGGAGACGAGGGTGTGAGACGCGACGGATTCGACGACGACGTAGATTAGCTTAAGATCCGCGGACCTTTGTTCTTCTCTACTCACTTGCTTCCTACCGAGCAAATTGCGAAATGAAACAGAATCGCACCAAGTTGGTTGCGCGTATCCGGATTCCGACGAAAAAAACGCACGCGCGCTCCAATCGCCAGTGGCCAGCGACATCACTGCGCGTTTGTATGCAAAAGAGGCGCGAAACGAGGCGCCGCCTGTTATATGACGCGAATAAAACGCTCGCTTGCGATTGGCTCCCACAACACTGGCTTTTACCACGCAACCACTGCAGCCTGCAAGAAGGTCGTCAAGTGGTTTGCTTGGTCACGATCAATGCGCGTGCTAGCCACCAAAAGATAGCAGCCCAACACATGGGCTCCTGCGCGACGGGCGCCCAACGCCAGCGCGAGGAAGCGCGCCGAGCGCAGCGTGATGGAGCGAGACTTGCGCCTGTCGAGCGCATGGTCGGTAGCTCAAGCGATGTTTATTGACTCGGTACAGAGTGGGAACTCATCCCACCTTCGCCACAATCACGTGGGATGCGGCGGAGATCGATTACGCAGAGGATGGATCGGGCGTGAAGCGGAGGTAACC